TTGAAAGGAAGAACAAGTGCCGATGAAATGGAAAGAAAAAAAAACACGTCAAGACACCAAAGAAAGGAGATCTGAGCAAATGTGAAAACTACAGAGAAATCACACTACTATCGGTACCAGGAAAGGTTTTCGAGAGTGTTGCTCAACAGAATGAAAGATTCAATAGGCGCACAGCTTCGAGATCATCAGGGTGGATTGCATAAGAATCGGTCGTGCTCAGACCGGATCGCGGGAACATTGACCATTGGTGAAAAATGAACTAAATTAAACTCGAAATTATACATCAACTTCCTTGACTAAGAGAAAGCATTTGATATCGTGGATAGGATAAGCCCATGGAACTCTCTTTCACATTGTAATCCTGCAAATCACCAATGTAGGCAATCTGTGTCGATAATTAGGTGCCTCTTCGAGTTGGATGGGAATGGCACGACCAATCACCTCTGTTGAAGTCATGCCTAACAGACAATATCTAACGTAGATTACACTTTCATCGTATCCAGGCGCCATGGATACTTTGATGACTGTATAACTAAAACATAACGTCATGGTAGAAATGTGTTGGTAAAAATAGACACAAGAACGAAGTGCGATTACAGCCGCATGGACCAGGCCATGATGTAGAACTAACTGGTACGCGTCAGTTGTCTTTGGCCTTGTCAAAGATCGATAGACTGATCGACATTCAGTGACCCCATTACCGAACGACTTGGCTAAGGCCAAGTGATATTTCATGACCCTACAGAGTAACTTAGAAGATTGTCCATATCGTGAGGAGCTTACACAATGGACTACAGTGCAGATTCATTCATAGAGGACAGCTGATAGATGCATTCCAAGTGGTAATTGGTGTCAGACAAGGCCGCTTACTCTCAACCTTCCTCTTCTTGTTGTTGAATGAACTATAAACATCGGTTAACACCAGCGAATTCACACTTGATGAGCAAGCTCTGAAGGCGGTACAGAACTTTTACGTATGTGGTCAGCATCATTGAGGAACAAGATCTGATACAGATGTAAAGGTACGAATTAGCAAAGTAAGGCCAGGATTCTTACAGTTGAAAAATGTATCGAACTAAAAACAACTATCAATCAGTATCACAGTGAGGATCTTTAATACGAACGTCAAGATAGTTCTACTGTACGGCGCTACAACTACTGTGCCATTACAGGGTTCTTTCGTAAAATGTGAAGATCATACATTAAATACTTCATTTGCAAATCCTCCATCAGTTGTCTTTTATATCCTTTATGACTTGCAATTCTGAATTACTTTATGCTTCCCTCTCTGTTTTCTTCAGTTTAATCTTCTTAGACTTCGGTTATCAGGCATTCCATTTCCGATTGGTGTTACTTTTTAAGAATCTTATGAAGATTCCTCAGAAGGTAAGTCAATAAGAAAAGATTCAAATCTACATAGGTAAATAATACGACCTCCGTTTATATCGTTAGTTTTGAGTCATAATAATAGAAAGTTTATAAGATTGACATGTTTGTCATCTCACTAGTTATTGTAGATAGATGAATCTCAGCGGACTTATAGATTTCACGGTAGTTAGTGTACTTGGTTGAAGAGATTATTTTTATGATAAATGTAAAACATACTCTATACTCTTGTTTTTCGATTAAATGAATGTACAAAGGGTGTAGGTTATCACATTACCAACTCGATGATCAGTATAATGTGATAAGCTGATTCACATTAAACTGACTGTAGATGTTTTCGCACCACTAAGGATAAATTTTGAGTGTATGACTACAGATATTCAAAAAAATGTGATCTGTTTGAGTGCGATTGTAATATGTGCTCAGTTTATCTATGATCACACTTTTTCCAACTAAAATAACTACTTAATCGGTAGTAAGTCTGATTAGTTGAATTCCACGAGAAGCATTTTGACTGGATGTGGAATTCTTATGAAATTTATGATTTTAAAGTCAGATATTTTCAAAAGTTTTTCTGGAAACCATTTCACTGGTGTTTAACAATAAATTTTCTTAAGCTACTTCGATACGTAATGAGTTGAAATCACAGTGTTGATGGATAACTCTATACTAACCAAATATTTTAGTCACACCATATAATAAACAATAAAATGTAGTAAAAGGTCAAATGTTGATCAATAAATTAACAATGTTGAAGCAGAATACTATGAAGAGTATAATATGTGAAATGATTTAGGTTGCAACTTTCAAGAAACTAGTATTATTTGTTACCAACTGAGTTTCTAACACAATCAGTTCATTGAATTGTGTTGTGACTTTAAGTTGTGGTTGATTTCTACCCTGTGCTAATTGTTGTGTCCTTGACTGAAAAAAACTAGAGAACAGCGTATTTATCGACCGATTCAATGACACGTGAACACGTACGAACGTAATGGACGACCTAGAGTTACGATTGGTCCCGATTCCCTGTCTATCCCAGTCAGTTGAGTCCAGAACACAAATCTCAGCCTCTGAGTTATGAATCATTATATTTCAAACATACTCTATTTATATACTAACCAAACATACCACATCGTACCATAAAAATAGAAAACAACATTTTCTACCATATTCCACAAGTGGACAGATATCGACCAGTAGGAAATGTCCATTTAAAGTCCAAGGTCACCATTGGACTTAACATGATAATTATTGGTCTATCCTTTCGCATCCACAACAAATTGTTAAACTGATCATTTACGAATTATGCTTATAAGACATAATGCAAACTAGTATTCTTTAAATATGAGCAAACATCCTGACTGTACTTTCACTTGACTAATTACAATGTCATAATGATAATGACCAGAAAATATCGATTACCTACAGGATGAAACTCTCACGACTTCTGCATCAACATATACAATATTGGCAACACTGTGCAGAAAAACTAAACCATACGTTCAGTCATCATATAGACTTGCATATTTGTATTAGGACATATTTTTTAGTCTTTAATCAAGATTGAAATAAAAGGTCAACATCTGAGATGTTCCGATGCTGTTCTGTTAACACACGTTTTAAAGTCTGTAAGCTTGAACATCTTCGTCTAAGTTGTTGATCACGCCATTTAGTTTTTCCAAATTTATTGAGATAACATCCTCCTGTCACGATCCCTAAAAGGCTTCTTTTACTTATTGATCGTTTGGAGAAATGTACGAACGGAACAATCATTGCGAGAGTTTCTCGACTGAGAAAGGTAAAAATGTTGGGATGTTCAGAAAAATATACCAATAATTATCATGTTAAGTCTAATAGTGTCCTTGGACTTTAAATGGGCATTCCCTATTTGTCAATATTTATTGCACTTGTTAAATATTGTACAAATGTTTTCTATTTTATGGTACGATGTGGTCTGGTTTATAAACAGAGTATGTTTGGAATATAACGATTCATATCTCAGGGGCTTAAAATTGCGTTCTGGACTCAAGTGGCTGGGCTAGACAGGGCCAATCAGGACTCTAGGCTGCTCGTACGTGTCATTAATCCGATCGATAAATACGCTGCGCGTTCAATCGGCAGTCACATGTCACAACAAAAACAACCTGGCATTGCCATGAAATTCGTGTTGTGAGTGCAACAATTTTACAAAGAAATAAGTAATAATTGTTTGTTTTATAGGTTCCATCTAAGTGGAAAGCATAAAGGTAACGATACATTAAGTTCCGTTGCCAAATAATTATTACTGCAACTTATTACCTCCATCTGGTCTATATTCGCAGCATGTACACAAGTGGTTACTGTAATTTAGGTGTTAGATGAGTAGAATCACAACAGGATATGAACCTTCTAAACTAATGAATATGAAATTAGAAATTGCTGCAAGTGAACAAAATTATTCAAGGAAGCGGAAACTAATGATTATTTGTGTTATGTCATAGTACTGAACATTCTACTGGTATGACGCAACATTAACTCCAATTGTTTGCTGAGGAATCCTAACCACTCATTTAAAAATTGTTTGCAATCAGTATTCTTAATCTGCCATAGATAATATATGCTTCCGAAATACATTGGTGAATATATCCGTATGCATTGTTATTTGTAATATAAAGATGTAAATATGAGTGAACAACCAAAGGTAATGAAGTAACAAATCGATAGTAATAACAATTTATGATAAAATATCAATTGTTTATTTATTCTTTACACATTTTTACGTTTATCATAGTTGGCACTTAGCATTTTACAACCATGAACTAATTTTCGTATTACCGCATATTCAGTACCTGGATTTGTGGATTTACATAATAAGCCCAAATGTGTTTTTATAATGTTATTTGTGCTTGCATAGATCATACTAGCCTCACACTTAACAGATTGCATATCAATCAATAACTTAATTTTCGAACAATTTGTCATCACTGGAGTAAAATAGTTCTATCAGAACCATCTACCAAGCCAAATAAATCGATATCAAAAGGCGTTCCAAACAGAATCAAATGCACAACTGAAAATTCAGTAGTTCAACATTACAGACACATATTCAACCACGGTCATCGAATACTTCCCAATTTTTTTCTACTACAAAACCTATTTTCTTATTCTTCATCACATTTTCACGTCTACTCAGTGAAAAACCAATAATTGATCCTTATCCATTTGATAAAGGACTACTACTATTGTTGTGGTGTATGCTACTTATATCGACATAAGTAGTATGCAACACCAATCAGAAGTGGAATATGTCAGATAAAAAATGTGCGATTCAATTCATATATAAAATGTGATAATATTCACTTAAAATAAGATGAGATAAAAAGTAAATCTATACATTATTAAAATGAAAACAATGATATTTAACAATTTTATTTTTTCCGGGAAACGAGTAAAAAAGAAAATGGAAAATAAATGTAATCAGTAAATATCTGTTTGATGATAATAGTTTGTCAATAGTAGCAAAGTGAAAAGAGGTTCAGATCTATATTGTTCAAATATTTTATTCTCTTATGATTCAAATAATTTGTTAAACATTTCTATGTATATTTCATTTGTTTAAGAATTTGTTCCTTTTTTTAACCGTACTGTGTGAACGACGAAAAAACGCTGTCATCCTCTACTTTCACTCGACCAAAACATATGATCTGTAATAATTGAAATGAAAAGATAATGTCTCTTTATATGATACAAATTTCTATTATTCGACGCACACAGACAAATATATAGAGAGCAAAAAAAATTACAAAGCAATTAAAGATAGATGAATTAACTGACAACTAGTAACGAATAATGTACTCCAAATTTGATTGTTGGCCGTTCATTACTACTAATATTCAGTTAATTCGAAATTACATAATTGATTTGCGCTTCTTGTTAGATGACTCAGATTAGCATACAAATGGATTGACAATAAATACTAGCTGATGAGAGATTATCGCAAATAACCTACTCTTCTTAATTGGTCGGCTATTAATTACAGCGGTAACATTTTCTTCAGGTGTTTATGCTGACATACAAATATATATGTAAAGTAACTCCGAGTATTTTTTTCCATAAAAAAGTCACTAACTTCAAGTCTGAGCCGTGTTGGTAGATGCAGACTGCTTGGTTGGGGTCCGCGTGACTATCGTAACCAATGGTTGAAGACTCTGCGTGACATGGCTCAGAATCGATCACAATGGCGTATGTGTATAAACTCTCTGTCTTCCCTTAAACTGAGATTAAAATCGCTTCATATCTTTCTTCCTACGAACTAATTATTTCTTCCTGTACTATGTGCAATCTTCCTTTTATATATTACCACAACTACTTTTATGAATCCGGTGTACACCTTGTTATGCCAATGAGGCATGGCAACTTGGACAGATGCACATATGCTGCCTGATCCTAGCTAACTGACTGATTTCTTTCCATAGAATGGACCTTAAATTGTATCGTGTTTTAGTCAATTAAATATATATTTACATTTCAGTGAGTTTTTTTCTCAATGAAAATGGGAAAGTCAATATTCTGTATCTGAAACAGCAAATTATTATCTATGGAATCATTCAGTTAACTACATCATTAAATTTTAAGGAAAATAAAAATAGATAATCATTAAGTAATTTTTCGTCAACTTACTCGACCTCGATTATGTTGGTTTGTGTAATCTTGACGATAACGATAAAGAAGCTTGCAAAACTCTTCATTTTTTAACGCTACATCGACATCATGAATAATTATGCCACAAATAAATGCTTGTTTCATGAGTAGAATTGATAAGTGCTCAACAAACAAATCTGTATTGAAGAGGGAAGTAAAACAATACAACTCATTTATTATTAAGTATATTTTGTTTAAGTGAATACGTCACAACTTTTTGTGTTATGGAAGTTAGGATGTCCATTACTTAATGAGGAGAAAACGATTACAATCATCCTCTTAACGAAATATAATATTTAATATGGATATATACTTTCATAGGTATATAAAACAATTGTGCATTCTTCAATAAATAAATTACTTCCTTTTACACACACAAACTGGTTAGATTCAATTTTATGAAGTGCTTGTTATTATTCATTCTAGAACAAACGTTCTTTCGTGTAGATAGTGGCGTAGTGAACGCTGCTGACAAGGTTGTTTGAAAGTAGTATGTAGCCGAACGTGAAGTCGAATATGCAACGACTGTCAAATGAAGTGGAAAATTTCGGTGCATGGAAAGCACAGTGGGGACGAGACACTTGGAGACCACATAAGAAGACAGTTCAGATGTCAGAACACACCGTAAGATGCAAGTGGAAGATTGAAGGCTATGTATAATGTATTGTATAAATACACACCTCTTGCCTAATGTCGTGTTTTACAGTTAGAGATATGAGCGATGCTTTAAATCTATATTATAACCTGCCTGAAGTTTTTCACACTCATGAGCTGAATCGATTACCTTTTTTTACAGCGTTTATTTGTGATATCTCAGAGGAACAGTTAATTGGCTGCACGATGCACAATATTTATCACGTCAGACTCGTGACAGAGTAACTGTAGAGCTCCATGTAGGACTAGATTAATATAAATTTTTACTTGTTAGCTGTACATATGAAATTAGATAGATAGACTGTTTTCACCGAAAGAGTTTCGATTCGTACTTGCACTGATAAATGCTTATTCGCAATATCATTTTTTTTCCATTTTTTATATAAACAAACACGATCATAGTGATATATCCCATATATAATGAAGATTGGAGAAAAGCTATAGTTGGAAGAGATGGATTGTACTATATTTCACAATTAAAGTTCTACCATGAGTCATTTCTATATCGCACTTAGATTTGTTCAACCTTTAGAAGTGTCTTTTAAATGTACCGTTTTACATGAAACAAAGTGAGTATACTAATTTTTGCATTGAGTAAAGGCTGTTTCCATCGACTGCACACTCTAATTAAACTCGAGTCAAAGAACTAAAATGCAGACGTTCACCCAAACCCGTATGAGTAAAGAAACTATAATTGATCTTGTATAGTTTGAAACAACTGTTGCAAATATTGAATATGAAGTGAGTGGTTTCGACAAAATCAATAGGTCAAGTGTACTCTCGTGAATAACTATAAATTCAGTGTTGACTGGATTCTAATTTGTGGAAGTATTTTGTACAATTCCACTTAAATAACATCTCTAATACGGATTGAAATTTATTCAAGTAAATAAATAATATGATGAAATAAAACATAAATATGGATTTTCTATGTAAGAATATCTAGAAGTTTGTAGTCACAGATAATGAATAACAGCTTTTTATCAGTTTTATTTTTTCAACTTTTTATCAGATATTTGCTGATATTGTGAAAAAAAGGAATTGTACTTGTTGGCGATTATAAGATATCTTATTTGATAGCGCGTACAAATTAAAATGTTTACCTAACCTGACAATTCCGATCGTTCCCGCTATCTTGACAGGATGGTCAGGCTTGCCTATCATGGTAAATCAACAGTGCCATACATACTGGGACAATTGTTCCTCAAGGTCCAGAGAGGTCTGTTGAAGAGCGATAAGACTAAAAGTAGCAAACAAAAAGTCAAAGGGCGAAGTCATACCCTTGTTATTTGGAATATAATTTCGTTCCTGTTCAACCGTGTTCTGATTTGGGGACTTGTCGAGTGAATTGGTGTCCAAGAACACTAAGCAACAGGAATAACTGGGTCGTAAATAAGAGAAATTATAGCAATACCATAATATCATTTACTTTTCTAATTGAGAGAACAACTAAACAGTATGTCTAGCCAGTTTATACAAAAATGTGTGGCTCGAAGTTGAATTCAGCTATTTATTGAACAGTATTATTATTATTACAATAATATAATATCATGGTAGAAAAAGCAAAATAAATTAAGAAATCCTACCAGAGGTTGTAAGTATCAAATCAACTTGTGTTAATTTTTTTACATCACAAGGTAAGTAAGCAATTTTTAAAGGACGTTGAGATGTATTATTGTCATTATCTGATCTATAATGAAAATAAAAACTTGGTGAAATTTTCTTTAATATACAACATGAACACATAAATATGTAGAATTTACTTGATGTTATTCAAATACAATTGAGTGAATTAAAATATAAATAAGTGAATAGAAAATATTCTATGCAATAATTTTGAAGTGCATATGATAACCACGATCAGTAGCTGAAGACTTTGGGTGATATAGCTCATAATAGTAAGGATGCATTCACTCTTTATCTTCTTTTTGACCTTGAAATCCAGTATTCCTTCATTAATACCTCCCCAATTTTTTTCCGAACCATATTCTTAATCAAAGATGGATAGTGTCTAGCAGTGGAATCCAGGACGCGCGTTTCGTCCCGTTTGGGACTCGTCAGCTGGATGTACCTGCATCTCAGAGTTGATGTTCACTCTGGGACTCCAACTCGGTACCGTTCTCTTCAAACGCCATCGCGTTATCCACTTAGCTACTGAGTCCTGATAGCCACTTGCTTGTGCAATGGGGTGAAGTTTAATTCACTTGATATTGTTTTTTACTTGAATCTTCCCATTGATGTTTTAGAATTGAAATTGATCAGTCTCTTATTGGCATATGTGCATACTGTGAGTATGCCTCGATATTGCCTTAATTTACAAGAACATATGCCAATAAGAGGCTGATCAATTTCAGTCCTAAAACATCAATGGGAAGATTCAAGTAAAAACAATATCAAGCATATTCTTAATGTTCATCCTTTATGATTATCCATGTTACCATATTATTTTGATCTTTTCTGCTATTCATCCTGTCGTTCTAACGAAATTTAGTTCTACGCCACATGTGGATGATGTCACCTTTTCCTATAGGTAATGTAACGTGAGAAAAGAAAACAAAGAGTCCTACTAACTAGGTGATCTACAAAACTAATATTTCTCAACCGCTTATTAACTTAATCTGGTTGGCGTTTTTTAGCAAAACATTCCTACTGTACGGAGAAGAAACGTAGAGAACTACTACTACTACAATCATCATCAAGTAGGTACAAATGTTTATAAATAGTTGTCCACACAAGATACTCAATATACGTTGACCGGATACCATCAGGAACAGTGTACTGCAAGAGAGGACAAACCAGATTCCAAGTGAAGAGGAAATCAGGAAAAGACGCTGGAAGTGGATAGAACATACATTATGGAAATCATCAAACTGCATCATGAGGAAAGTGCTAACCTGGGATCCCAAAGGAAACAGAAAAGAGGAAGGTTAAAGAACACACTGTGTCGGGAATTGGAAGCAGACAAGAAAACGATAAATAGCAACTGAAAAGGAATGGTCAGGACAGAGTTGGATGGAGAGTGCTGGTGGGCAGCCTATCCTCATCGACGAGGAGTAACAGGCGTAAATAAGTAAGATTATTAAATAATTATATATTTTTATTGAATATTTCGTAAGTAAGCATCCGATATTAATAAAGGGAAAACTAATTTCGCTAGCAACCCATAACTTTCAATGTTAGTTCATTCAGAGAAAGAGGTTTCCGAAAATTATTTTCTATGAATTTATTAGCCGATGATGGCATCGTATCATTCTGTATTATTTATCGATTATTTATCACTTTATCCAAATTTATCAGTCAGTCAGCTACAACGCAGGACCAGGCACATATGTGTCGCGACTGTATTGGAGTAGTTAAGAGTGTGATGAACGGTGAATAACTTGCGCAAAAATATAAGAACTAAGGTAGTAATGTACGATTAGTTTTAGAAAAATATAGTCATAGAGAATGAATCTACACATATTTAGCACACAAAGTTTTGAGAATTAAATTCGAATGGCTTTTGTCATTGTATTTGAATGATACTGAATATCGGAATGTGGTATTAACAATAAAAATAGTGGAAAAAACTAATTCCCTTTCTTCTCCATCTCATATCAATAATTAGTAACTATTCATAACTTGTATAACTGATAAATCTTTTAAATAAATTAATAGATTTGTAATATCCCAATGAGCAGAAAAATTAGATTTTCTGACGTCTCGTGACTCAGTGTAAGTCATTGCTTCAGAGAATAAATAACCAAACCAAAATTAATCCAAGTTTAAATAGCACAAAAAAACAACGCAAGAATATCATGTGCGATCAATCCAAAACAAGTTTGAACAAGTCAATGTCGTGTCATTTCAGTCAAGGTGATTTATAAGCGAACTACATTTTATTATTGACGTTTTCATATATTTTCTTCTTTAACCTTTTCTAAAGTTTTTGATTTGACGGTGTTTCGGTGAGTTTAAATAATGTAATTCTAAATCTATCCATCTACCGAGAACCTACATACTCAAATCGTTATATTGACTTAAATTCAACACATTCATTCAATGCAAAAATCTCACTAGCCCTAAATCTTTTTATAAGAGCTAACGAGATTATCATAATGGAAGACCATAAACAGAAAGAACAAAAGAATGTAATTAACCTCTTAAAATTTAATAATTTTCATAGGAAAATTATTAGAAATGTATTAAAATAAGACGTTTCACTGCTTAATAATAATTCGAATGAAATACTATGGATTGGTACTGCAGTTTTACCATACCGTCATGGTACAACAGAACTCCAAAGAATTTTAAAACAACACAGAAGTAAATTAAATTACAAAACAACGAACACACTTCGAAATACTTCAGTTTGCTCAAAAGAAAAACTCCCATTTATGTCAACACAGAACTGCGTCTACAAATTAGGATCTGTCGATTGTGATGGCTTCTATATTGGAGAGTCATCACGTAAAATCTTGACTCGAGCCAAAAAAATATATTAGGTACATGAAGAAAACACCTAATAATCCCGTAGAGCTGTATAAACTTCAAACTAAATCGACAATAGCAGTTCATGCCATTTTTAACAACCACCAAATCGATTTCAAAAACACCAAAATATTACAAAAAAGGTTTTCCAACTACAAAGAAAGGAGAGCAGCTGAAGCTTTCCATATAATGCTTAATCCTAATGCGCTCAACAGAAAAGAAGGCATCACTATACATCCGACTTGGACTATCTATCCTAGCTACCATGTCTGATATTATTCATATTTCGCACTATTATCCTACATACAAATTAAACTCTATCCTTTCTCACCACAAAAGTCACATTTTTTCATCTCTGATCTTGCACACATACACACAAATTTAAGTACATTCGCTTACAAATCACCTTGACTGAAATGACACGACATTGACTTGTTCAGACTTGTTTTGGATTGATTGCACATAATATTATTGCGTTGTTCCTTTGTGTTATTTAAACTTGAATTAATTTTGATTTGGTTATTTATTCTTTGAAGCAATGACTTACACTGAGTCACGAAACGTCAGAAAATCTAATTTTTCTGCTCATTGGGATATTACAAATCTATTTATTTATAACAATCTACCCAATGCTTACTTTATTCAAAATTATCAAGTTAAACCGTGGTGGTGATAAATCACTTGGTTAAGAGCTGAGTTTGTGACAAGCGTAAAAAACAATGGCTGTAATAATGAAAAGATATTGTTTTTAGTATTTTATGTTCGGCATTTCTGTAATTATGCAATTTTCTTTTGAAAAAAAAAACAATTTTCAGGTCGTTATGACGTTTAGCGCCTTCTGTAGCCTATGACGGTTACTGGCGATCCCAAGCCCTAGTGAAGTGAGAAGTTGAACAAAGGGTTAGCAACCTGTTTTATGTGGTACGGCAACCGGATAAACGTCAAAAGGATTTGACCATCTTGACATAGGATCAAACGCTAAGAACGAGTTAGATAACACTAAGGAAAAAAAGCACCATAAGATAACATGGAATAGGAGAACGGAACAAAGATAGAGAGATTGCTGAATCTATGACCACAATTAATTCATGGATAACCTGTAAACCACATTAGAGACAGTGAAAAACTTTAACAATTTACAAGTTTCAAAACAGGGGTATCGATTAGTGTGAGTAGTAAGAATTAAGTCTCCAAATTAGAAATTGGAATAGGAATACAATCAGTGTTTTCACCCAGTACTGACACAAGAAGCACAATAATCAAACTAAATAATTCGTCAAAAGGTAAGTAAGAAGGTTTCATCAACAACACGCTGCACACAAAATTATGAACCACAGAAGAAAATTTAGAAAGACAAGATTCGAAATGAAGAAAATCCTTCATTCTCGACATTAAGCAGAGTTAAAACTAGTTAACACATTTATTATTATTTATTTGAACACATAGATATTGGTAATAAGAAGCAACGAATTCATATGTCAACATAAGTGACTTGATTTGTGTGTGGGTTATAATACTGTCCGGGTGCCTAAACAGATGCAGGTAAAACCTCGATCTATGTCAACCCGGTTAAGGTGCCGGACATTCGCTTTGCGTACTCTCAACTTAGTGAACAACAACCTCGTCACCGAGTAGGAGTACCCTGTCAGTGGCTGTAAACGCGAGCTATGTGAGAGCATTTGGAGAGGCGGAGTTAACCCTTCTTAACCTCGGCCGCACCACGACATTTCGGGGGTCACCAATAAGCCACCAAAACTAAAAGAATACTTGCTAATATTTATAGTAGGCAGAAAATATCTCACACTTTTGTAGGATTCATAGTTTTACATTTCCAATTGCAGATACCTATCTTTCCAAAATAAGAATACCATTTAAAATATTACAATGTAATTAACACTGAGATACTTTTAGAAACATACTTACTGAGATCCGAATACAGAAATCGAGTTAGCTGAGGAACTTTCTGTTTTGGGTAGAACCCATACTACCCAGGTAGGAGCAGAAGGACTTGACGAGTCAATAGTTGATAGATTCTTATTAGCTATCAGTAATGCATTTGCCAGATGTATCGCAATACGATCTCGACCGTCAAATGAATCCAACAACAAAACACAATCTTGATCTCCTTTCGCTGAATTCTCCAAAAGCTTAGCCTATTGTAATGAATACGACAAATGTAGCAATAACCTATTGATCATGAGAAATATGTAACGCAATAATTCGACCGCATAGAAGTACAATAGAATTCATTTGACTGCCAAACTCTAGAAAATATAGTAGGAAACATAACTGCTAAAACTAAAGTACTCTTCATTGAAATAAATTTTTAAAACCCAATGGATCCTGCAGTGCCTCTTTCCAAACTCTATACGAATTCTTTTGGCCTAGCTAAACGTTGCAGCACATGTCAACTCCACATTCTGGTTGCTCGGAAATAATGGGTAACTGGAGTTCCGTTGAACTGATCGTTAGTGTTCTGTTCATCGTTATAATCTCTTGAACTGAGAGTAGATCATGGTTCTATCTTCTTCAATCTCACTAACTATTGATTTTTTTTATAAGCCGTTTTCTTGATGAGTCGGTATAGTTGTCTAGTATTACCTATCACAATTGTCTTTTCCATCTATCTTGCTTTCACTATCGATTCCTCCTTACGATCATCAGTTTTCGTTTAATTTGTCTTCCCTTTTCATTTTTTCTCATAATCTTATGAATTCATGCGCAGTCATTAATCCAGTAGGAGTTTCGTAAATTCAATCACCTTTCCTAATCTTTCGATTGTGACTGATATCATATGTGCATTTAAATCTGTTTGAGTATCGTTTCAAGCTTCTTTGAGGTGAACCTTTTTCCTATAATCGACTAAATGCCTAGTTAATTTTCCCTTCACTCCATTATCAAACGTTTCGCTGGTGTTCAAGCACTCGAAAATGAACGACGTTTATATTTGGTAGAGTGCCATTGAGCAGAACTTTACTCATAATCAGGTGTAAAAATCCTGCTGCACATATCAGAAGTCTACACTGATCTAATGTGATTTGATGGTCTGTTTTTTTCGCAGATGAACAAGGTGATTCGCCAGTTCACTTCACAGAAAGCAAAGCACTGTGTTAAAAAGGTTTTCTTCAAACGAAAACTTTCGGAAAACTGTCTCGTAAATTATCACTTAACATTGGCACCCGCCAGTAATATAAAATCTCGTTTTTTTTCGTGTCAATGATTCGATCTCACCTTCACAAATAATCCTGACGCTAATCTTTTACGTAAATATCTGTAACTAATGTAAGGGATGTGTCGCGCGTACAGTAAAGTACAGGCGACGTTTGTCAGTTTTCTAAACATTTTAGTATATGGTGAATTTCGAATAAATAGACTAGACTGATTATAGCGTAGCGCATCTCCCGTATCGATCAAACCATAATGATATTAACCTTGTTTGAAAATATCTCAAGCAAATAGACCACAAATCCGTAAGTGTTTGTGTTCGTAGAGAATTTAATGCAGAATTTGTCTAATTTTTTCTCGTAAATTTGACTAGTGTCTTCATATGTACCTTATGTTAAGGAACAAATACCGAAATGCATAAACGGTCTTTGAATACCTATCGATACTGTTGTTGTATAAGAAAATCGATTATTAGAATGAAGTCACGCTCAGATTATTTATTTATTACCAATGTCCGCTTTGCTCATTTAACAGTTCGGTATGAAAGTGTTTTGTTGTGAAACGAAAAAGTGATTGGGATGTTGAGTTATCGAAAGTTTTAGGACTTCGAATTGTGTTTCTATGCGGTCGAATTATTGCATTACATATTTCTCATGATCAATAGGTAGGTAATTGCTACATTTGTCATATTGATTATTATAGGCTAAGCTTATGGAGAATTCAGCGAAAGGAGATCAAGATTGTGTTTTGTGGTTGGAGTTGACGAGTCGATAGTTGATAGATTCTTATTAGCTATCAGTAATGCATTTGCCAGATGTATCGCAATACGATCTCGACCGTCAAATGAATCCAACAACAAAACACAATCTTGATCTCCTTTCGCTGAATTCTCCATAAGCTTAGCCTATAATAATCAATATGACAAATGTAGCAATTACCTACCTATTGATCATGAGAAATATGTAATGCAATAATTCGACCGCATAGAAACACAATTCGAAGTCCTAAAACTTTCGATAACTCAACATCCCAATCACTTTTTCGTTTCACAACAAAACACTTTCATACCGAACTGTTAAATGAGCAAAGCGGACATTGGTAATAAATAAATAATCTGAGCGTGACTTCATTCTAATAATCGATTTTCTTATACAACAACAGTATCGATAGGTATTCAAAGACCGTTTATGCATTTCGGTATTTGTTCCTTAACATAAGGTACATATGAAGACACTAGTCAAATTTACGAGAAAAAATTAGACAAATTCTGCATTAAATTCTCTACGAACACAAACACTTACGGATTTGTGGTCTATTTGCTTGAGATATTTTCAAACAAGGTTAATTACACAAGCCCAACGGATATTTAATCGCTCTGTTCTGCAAAGACTCACTATGTGATCGACCACTTTACAGTCACTGGCTAGTGCCGTACGCCCAACCCAAGAACTGACTGATAACTCAATGGCTGCACGTACTACATAGATAATATTACTCAATGCATTTAGAAACTGCAAATTGAAGTGTTCAATCAAAAGTTCTTTGAATTTGATATCAGTATAGTCTTGTAAGTAAACATACCACAGCAAATTAACTCACCTCAGTAGATGTGAACTTAATCGATCCATATACGGGTACTAAGACCTCTCGACAGGATCGTTTAAATTTACGTAGATGAGAGTTGTCTACACGTGAACTTGATGATACTGATTTTTCTCTTAACTTGCGAACGTTCAGTTGATGCTCTTCTGACTCCAAATGTTTCAGTTTCATTGAACTGAATATTACAAATTGACAAATATTGCACTGATAAAAAACAGAAGTTGAGCTTTCGTCACTTGATGGTGACATCTAAAATACATTGAGAAACTGCATACTGTGAAAGATATCCATTAAAAATTAGGAATATTATTGGTTTGAATAATTTTTCAGAAAAAAAAACGCTGTTTAGTGAATAATGCAGTTAGAAGTAAATAGGTCACAAAGCATCCAGATATATGAATAAACTTTAGTGACCTTACATATGATTCCAGTTAGATCGTATGCTGATTACTACCGAAGTATGCATTCAGCCACTTTCGTATATAATGATCGCGTTAGTGAATAACGGAATTATATGAGTCAAATACGAGGATAGATTTTGAATGCATATACTTTATAAAACCGTTGATCCAGATAGACGACCAGAGAAACGAAGCGAAGAGAAAAAAGCGGAACGAAACGAGATGACTCGCAGTGAGCCAACTCCATTTTATAAAGCTTTACTCAATATTTATATTCAGATAAAAATTAATTTCAGACAAGTAAGGAATAGGATAAGTAATTAACACACATACGACCATATCAAAACAGTCATGGTTGATAAGTGAGTAACTGACAAGCTCAAAATGTGGCTTGACAGGAATGAATAAATTGGCGTATCCAGAAGCTAAAATAACCTATGTGAGTTTGATAAAGTATAGCAACTGAAAAACAGAGTGCTGATAGCGAAACAGATAAGACAAAGAGTGAACACGCTAGCCAACAAAAATAAGTAAGTGTTTCAACCAGAGTACAGAGCTACGGTGATATTAAGATTTATTAACTTAGTCATATTAATGCCGACTAATACGCGGTGGATTTATTTGCTTAGGTGCCGTGAACTAGTTATTATCAATATTTTTTTATTTATTTGAACACAAATATTGGTACAAAGGGGAACCGAATACACATGCACGACACAAGTCATCAGTCAGTCGGCTACAACGTAGGACCAGGCATATATATGCATCAGTCCAAGTTGCCATACCTCATTAACACAACAAGATGGGCACCGGATTCATAAAAGTAGTTAATTCAGAGGTGGTAATATATAAAAGAAAGATTGCAATAAGAATATAGTACAGGAAGAAAGAATTAGTTCGTAAAAGAAAGATATGAAGCGATTTTAATCTCATAGTTTAAGGGAAGACAGAGATTGTATTTATTTATTATTTATTTGAACACATAAATATTGGTACAAGAATGCGCCAAATATATATGCACCACACAAAACAATAAGAATTTAAGGGGAAAGAGAAAAAAAGATTGATGTAAGGTGGTGTAATAATAATAATGGTAAAAATGACGGAACAGAAAGGTACAATCAGAAGAAATCTTTCAGTTAAGGGAGACACAACCACTTTTTATGAAGAAAGTAAAAGGTTACAGCAGGATCGCCACTGGCTTCTATTCTGAGACATATCTGACAACGTCTCTAGCCACTGTGTAGCACCAACTCTCGGACTCCAGCAAGGGAGTCGTGAAGGACCAACAGAAGCCAGTCCTTTGCACCTTTCTTTCATCCCACGACACCATGTCATGCACTGACCACCTCTCCGCTTCTTCCAACAAGTCTCAGAGTCGGCAAATAGTGCACGACGTGGAATTCTCTGGGACGACATTCGTAGAACATGTCCAAGCCACCGAAGTCGGTGTTTCAAGATGGTGACACCAATTGTATTATCATCTCTGTGCCCGAACACACGATGCCGACCCTCTGCATTACCAATATGGTGTCGCCACTGGATGTCAGCAATCCTTCGTAGACAACGATGATCGAACACAGAGTCGTCTAACGTCCTCAACTCGGAGAGGCCAGGTTTCACAAGCATAGAGCTCTGGCTTTCACTACACGCGCATTGATCTGATCACTCACACCCCCACCAGAACTTATGCAGCTACCTAGATACACGAACTTCTCGACTAATTCTATCTGCTCACCATCCACAGTGAGTACAGGATTAAAATCCTGCCAATCTTGTAGAAGTACTTTGCACTTCGAAGGTGCAAAGCACATTCCATACTTACGGACATTGATTGCCTACTGATTAAATGGGGATTGCATGCCTTGGGCATTGTCGCACAGTAAGTGAATGTCCGGCGCTTTAACCGGATCTCAAACCAATTGTGCACATGGGCTCCAGTATCCTGCGGGAACGAATGGCGTGTGAACCAATTGTCGGTCACCGGCTATCATGGGAATGCATCTCCTTACGATGCTCCACTGCCTTGTGGGTTAGACCTTTAGGTCAAAGGCTTGGGGTGTGGCCCCCTAAGATAACCACCTACTTCGTCTGGGCACCCGGGCAGTATTACAGCCCACATGCAAATGATGGACTCTCTCTATCTATGGAAACTACATTTCTCGCTCCGACTAACAATCAAATGATTCAAATTATTATTATTGTTATTTACTACATCATTTTTCGGTTTATACGGCAGCTCGTCCTTGGTGGAAATTCGACTCTATCTAAACGTTCTCGAGTCACTGTCCGGTTGAAAATTGTATGTTACCACCGAATACGAGTATTGAAGCAGTTTTTCTGAAGCCACGTGCACCATTCAAACTGGCTGCTTTCAACGTTCGCACACTTATGCAGGTCGGACAACAGATGGGGCTAGCTATGTCTTTGGAAAGTCTTAATATCGATGTTTGCTGTCTATCCGAGACCCGTATTCAAGACTCTGGTGACGTACTACAATTTCGATCTCCATCTATCGCTTCTAAAAGCTTGTTCTATGTGCGCTTATCCGGGGACCCTGTGACATCTTCGTCTGGTCTTGCTGGCGTTGGTGTCGCACTAAGCGCTAGAGCTGAGGCAGCACTAATCGACTGGATCCCCATTAACAGTCGGTTATGTGCTGTTAGATTAGAGTTCCATCAAAGTGAGAAGAAATCAGCGTGAGAAACGATGTCTTTTCGTCATCTCCGCCTATGCTCCGACAGATTGCAGCCCAGATGCAATCAAGGATCAGTTTTACCACCAGTTATCTGTTCTTCTCCAGAAAGTGCGTTCGACAGATATTGTAGTACTAGCCGGAGACTTGAATGCGCAGGTCGGGCGTCTAGGCACAGAAGAGAGTCGTTTAGGTGGCCGATGGGGACTTGTTGGTCGCAGGACAGATAACGGGGACCGTCTACTGCAACTATGCACAGACCACAACCTGTTTCTGGCTAGCACTAACTTTCGGCACAGTCATCGCCGATGTACCACCTGTCGTCCTCCCTCTGCATCTCAAGCCTGGACTCAGACTGATCACATCGCGATCAGCTACCGCTGGCATGGTTGTGTACAGGACTGCCGCTCCTTCTGGAGTACCTATCTGGACTCTGACTATGCTTTGGTCTGCGCCAATCTTACCTTACTTTTCAGTGGCCAACGAAGTGACCGCCATCAACGGATAGATATTAGCAAGCTGGTTGCAAGTAAGTATCGAACCGCGCTAGCCTCTAGGCTAGCTACCATTCCACTGAAAAGTATAGATGAGCATTGGTTGCAATTGCATGACGCCATGAAAATGGCGGGTACAGTCAGTTGTGGGTTCGCGAAACGTCCCGCTTACAAGCACTGGGTTTCTTCTGGTTCATTACAACTCATTGACTAAGGAATTGACGACGTTGTTTACAAAGGTTTGGGTGTTTGGGAGTGTACCAACTTCATGGAATGAGTCGATAGTTGTCCCTATCTTTAAAAAGGGTTCACGTCGGTCCTTACGCAAGCCTTGCTCGATTTCCTTTCGTAACATCCTTCGTTTGTGGTCAAACTCACGGTCACCGGAAGTAGACCGACGGGCTTCAATGAGTTGTAATGAACCAGAAGAAACCCAGTGCTTGTAAGCGGGACGTTTCGCGAACCCACAACTGACTGTACCCGCCATTTTCATGGCGTCATGCAATTGCAACCAATGCTCATCTATACTTTTCAGTGGAATGGTAGCTAGCCTAGAGGCTAGCGCGGTTCGATACTTACTTGCAACCAGCTTGCTAATATCTATCCGTTGATGGCGGTCACTTCGTTGGCCACTGAAAAGTAAGGTAAGATTGGCGCAGACCAAAGCATAGTCAGAGTCCAGATAGGTACTCCAGAAGGAGCGGCAGTCCTGTACACAACCATGCCAGCGGTAGCTGATCGCGATGTGATCAGTCTGAGTCCAGGCTTGAGATGCAGAGGGAGGACGACAGGTGGTACATCGGCGATGACTGTGCCGAAAGTTAGTGCTAGCCAGAAACAGGTTGTGGTCTGTGCATAGTTGCAGTAGACGGTCCCCGTTATCTGTCCTGCGACCAACAAGTCCCCATCGGCCACCTAAACGACTCTCTTCTGTGCCTAGACGCCCGACCTGCGCATTCAAGTCTCCGGCTAGTACTACAATATCTGTCGAACGCACTTTCTGGAGAAGAACAGATAACTGGTGGTAAAACTGATCCTTGATTGCATCTGGGCTGCAATCTGTCGGAGCATAGGCGGAGATGACGAAAAGACATCGTTTCTCACGCTGATTTCTTCTCACTTTGATGGAACTCTAATCTAACAGCACATAACCGACTGTTAATGGGGATCCAGTCGATTAGTGCTGCCTCAGCTCTAGCGCTTAGTGCGACACCAACGCCAGCAAGACCAGACGAAGATGTCACAGGGTCCCCGGATAAGCGCACATAGAACAAGCTTTTAGAAGCGATAGATGGAGATCGAAATTGTAGTACGTCACCAGAGTCTTGAATACGGGTCTCGGATAGACAGCAAACATCGATATTAAGACTTTCCAAAGACATAGCTAGCCCCATCTGTTGTCCGACCTGCATAAGTGTGCGAACGTTGAAAGCAGCCAGTTTGAATGGTGCACGTGGCTTCAGAAAAACTGCTTCAATACTCGTATTCGGTGGTAACATACAATTTTCAACCGGACAGTGACTCGAGAACGTTTAGATAGAGTCGAATTTCCACCAAGGACGAGCTGCCGTATAAACCGAAAAATGATGTAGTAAATAACAATAATAATAATTTGAATCATTTGATTGTTAGTCGGAGCGAGAAATGTAGTTTCCATAGATAGAGAGAGTCCATCATTTGCATGTGGGCTGTAATACTGCCCGGGTGCCCAGACGAAGTAGGTGGTTATCTTAGGGGGCCACACCCCAAGCCTTTGACCTAAAGGTCTAACCCACAAGGCAGTGGAGCATCGTAAGGAGATGCATTCCCATGATAGCCGGTGACCGACAATTGGTTCACACGCCATTCGTTCCCGCAGGATACTGGAGCCCATGTGCACAATTGGTTTGAGATCCGGTTAAAGCACCGGACATTCGCCTTTCGTTCTATCATTTTCGTAAACAACACCCCCGCCAAGAGAAGGCAGTGAGTAGGACTTCGCTGGCAGAGGTAGTATACGCGTGGTCATGTGAGAGTATTTCGAGAGGGAGGGCGGACCCACCCCGCCCTCGACCATACCAGGGAATTCGGGGGCTGTATACACATACGCCATTGTGATCGATCCTGAGCCATGTCACCAAGTCTCCAACCATTGGTTACGATAGTCACGCGGACCCCAACCAAGTAGTTTGCATCTCCCAACATGGCTCAGACTAGAAGTTAGTGACTTCAAGCACTGATGCCACGTTTTGGTTTGACCGCCCCTTACTTTCTTCCAACCATCTCCAACACCGGTTAGCATTGCACGTCGTGGTAATCGGTGTTCAGGCATTCGTAACACGTGGCCCAACCATCTCAGCCGATGAAGATTCACAACCTCATCAACTGATTTACCGTCACTTTATAATACCCTGCGTCTAACCTCACTATTACTTACACAGTGATGACAGCAATATTTCTAAGGCATCTGTGGTCAAATACTAGTAGCTTACAAGTGTCTTCTACTCTTAATGACCATGTTTCGCTGCCGTAAATTAAAATAGAACGGACTGCCGCGCAGTATACTCGTCCTTTTATTGATAGACGGATATCTCGCCTTCGCCGAAAGTGACGTAAGTTGGCAAAAACCAAACGAGCTTTTTGAATCCGTGCTGAGATTTCGTCTGATACCAGCCTATTAGGGCTGATCAGACTTCCAAGATAAGTGAAGTTGTCAACGCGTTCGACTACTTCACTCCCTATCCTTAGTTCAGGTGTTGACGCAGGCCAGTCCTGAAGCAACAACTTGCATTTAGAGGGAGAGAAGCGCATTCCAAACATTCTGGCATTGTTGCTTAGTGCTGCCAGAAGACTCTGCATTTTGTCAGCGTCTTCCCCAAACAGGACTATGTCATCTGCGTATTCTAAGTCGATAAGTGGACCTCCTGTTAGGAGATCAATACCTGAGAATTCAGTCGACGAGTGTTATTTCCATCAATAGGTCTATGATGAAGTTAAACAAAAATGGAGGAAGTGGACAGCCTTGACGGACACCACTTGAGGTTGCAAAAGTAGATGACAGTTCGCCATAAGCTTTGACTCGACTGGTAGTGTTCGAGTAAATAGCCTTTACAAGGTTTATGTACTTCTGGGGTACGCCTTTCAATGACAGACACTGCCACAGAATCTCGCGGTCTACCGAGTCAAATGCTGCTTTTAAGTAAAGAAAGAACACCATTGTCGGACGCCGATAAGTATGTCTGTGTTCTAGAACCTGAAGAATGTGGTGGAGAATATGTGGTCGATGCAGCCACGACCAGGTCTGAAGCCAGATTGGTTCTCTCGTGTTTGCAGTTCACGAGTCTTAGTTAAGCGTCTGATTATTATTGAGGCTAGTATTTTAGATACTATATTTGTTAAACTAATCCCTCTGTGGTTGTCACAGGGTGATTTTAACCCTCTCTTATATATTGGGACGATAAGTGATCGTGACCAGTCAGATGGAATAACGTCTAACTCCCAGATCTTAGCTAAAATATTAGTCAACCTGATAGCTAAAATTGGACCACCATCCTTAAAGACCTCTGGAGCCAATCCATCTACCCTTTCTCGTTTCAGATTAACTATAGCCTTTTGAACCTCAGTAAGAGTTGGTGAACCTACTTCAATGTTCCATTCACACTGTCTGGGAATGGAGGGTAGTTGTAGAGTGGCTGAAGGCCAGCTGAACTTTTCCCTAAAGTGTTCCGCCCATCGTTCTAAACGTCTGGACTGGGAATAGATGAGAGTATTGTCTTTTTCCGAAATAATCTCACTTACACTTGACTTATTAGTTCCAGTTTCTTTTATTAGTCTGTAGAGCTGTCTTGTGTTCCCCACAGCCGCCGCCTTTTCCATCTCTTTTGCTTTCGTTGCCCACCATTGCTCACGGTCGTTCCTTAGACCTTTTCTTAACCTAGATCTGATTTGTTTTCGCGCTTCATCGTGTTCGGAGCCTGATGGGATGAGTTTACGAGGATCCATCAGTGCAATAGACCTTGAAGAAATCCACTGGTTCTTTGTAACAATGTGGTTTAAATCAATGATAGATGTCAATGCTGGTTATATAGCTTTCCAAGCAACATCTGGCTTCAATGTGTAGTTTGGAGCGAGGTTTCAGTAAACTTGGGACAGTGTTTTGAGCACTAGAATCGTTGGCTATGGTGACACTTGAGGAGGAAGCCGAAAGAGGACATTTAGAGGTGAAAGTCGATGTAGGAGGAATAATAGAAATTGAAGAGGGAGGTTGATTATGAATACAGTGGTCTTGAGTGCTGTTAGAGGTATGAGGGCGGTTATCACTTCCCGGTTGCCCATACCGTGGAAGGGTTGTTCTGGAGGTACCTGAAAAAGAAATTGGATTAAAGGTGGTCTTAGTGACCTGAGAGCGTGACCGCAGTACCCAAGGGACAACTGCTTGAGGTCGGTCACACACGACCTTATTATGGGTAATTTTTGTGTTAGCTCCGTACTTATTGAGACCTTACCACCGGAGACGGATATCCGTGGGATAAGGAGGGGTGTGCATTTTTAGGGTCGACCTTTTCTAACCTCACCCCTCCTTATGGGAAGGCGGCATCGCTGTCATGCTAGTTGTCTGAAGGAAACACCTTACTGCTGTCACACCTCTGTACAGTCAGCAGTATGACTTCGCCTTCGGACCTTGGGTTTGTTGCTTTTAGTCTTACCGCTCTTCAACCGACCTGTCTGACATGGTAGGACCATGAAGAACGGTTGTTCCAGCCAGCATAGCTCGGTTGCTTTATCACGATAGGCAAGCCCGACAACCAGGTTGAGGTAGCAACAACGGTCTGGACACAAGTCAGTTTATTGTTTATTTAAACACATAAACATTGGTACAAGAGGGCACCAAATACATATGCCCCACATAAATCATTCAATTTGTTTGAGGGCTGTGATACTGCCCGTGTGCCCAGACCGAAGCAGGTGGTATTCTTAGGAACCCATACCTGGAGCCTTCGACCTAAAGGTCCGATTTACAAGGCAGTAGAGAAACGTCAGATGTAGTCCCATGGTAGCCAGTGACCAACGGTTGGTTCATACGCCATTTGTTCCTTCAGGATACTGGAACCCATGTACACCACTGGTTTGGAATCAGGGTTTCTCAACTCACTTAAGTGGACTCACAGTGTCCATCGGCCCGGTTAAAGCGCCGGACATTCGCTTTTCGTCCTCTCAACTTCGTAAAGAACACTCCAGCCACGAGAAGGCAGTGAGTAGGACTTGCCTGGCAGAGGCTGTATTCGCGTGGCCGTATGAAAGCAGTTCGAGAGGGATGGTGGGCTCTCCCCACTCTCGGCCGAACCAGGGCATATATATATATATATATATATATATATATATATATATAAACTGTGGTTCTGATTCCAGCATACGAACTTGTACTTCAGTCAGCTTCAACTGACGTAGAATCTCGTGCAGATATCTGTTGCTCTAAGTTGTCACAATTCAAATCAGCATAGGGAGATTAAATCAATGAGATCAATAGCCCAGAGAACCACAGTGATATAAACACTCAGTGAAAATTTGTCACTTAAAAATTCGAACTAACGATATTATAAAACTTCACTGTTCGATTCCAGTGAATTTATAACTGCACATTAATCCACCACTGTAAGTCCATGATATAGGATAGTGCTTTTTAATTTATTCAGTTATGTATGAACCACCAAATTCTATAAGTTAATTTGTCAACATGAGTAATAAATTAATTGACAAATTCACGGATTTCGCAGCAATAATCGGAGTAAGAATAGGTTAAAAATCTATGGGCGGTAGTATCAAGACATGGAATTAATTTCCTGAATGTCAGTTTAGGTTGTACGTAGACGTAGACTCCCTAAAACTGTCACGCATAGTACCCATAATCTGTAGTAGGAGATGGGTTCCATAGATCACAACTGAACTCACCATATATCTTCCTCTTGAACCATATTTTGTTTTTAATTTTCCACTTAATGTATCAATTCTTCTTCTATGCTTGTCATTTCCTATCTAGTTGTGATGTGGGGTACTGGGAGTTAAAACCGAGATACATTTTTAATTCTTTTACTAACTTATAGAATTTATTTATTTATCGGTGTAATTGGTTTTATTCATACCCGAAACAGGAAAGATGCAAACGAATAAAAACAAGTTGTGCCATATCTTACTGCTGTATCGCTTGAAGACAGACTAGAAACTGAATTAAGATTTATTTTACTTTGATGTTTGCGACCACGAAGGTGAGAAGTATATTGATCTGAAGAATTCATATGTATACCGCATAAGTTGCAGGTAAAGGAAATTTCGGAAGCTGAAGATAACTGGTTTGACTTTGTCCAATTTGAACTAGAATCAATGAAACCTACATATGAAGAGGATTCTTGATCACAGATTGAATTTCTCATTGGCCCTGTAGAATAAGAGGTGGTATCTAAGACTGAATCTTTCGGCGAGCCCGAATCAGGAGTAACCAGTGTTGGTAAGGAAATTTTTAGGGGATAATTAATATGATCCACTATGTTTAAACTGTCTAAAGCAAGACATTTAGAGCGATGTTTTCTCCCCGTTTCATGAACTCGTAGGACATTCTCAGTGTCACACCATATATTGCAAACACTACACGAAAATCGATGAGGATTCATCTAAAGAATAAAACAAAATCTGAAATTAATAGCAGTTAGAAACTTGGTTAGTCCTTATCCGCAATAGACTAATGTTGCTAAAGCAAGCTACAGAGCTTTTAAGATTAGAGAACCGATTCGAGTATTAGTCGAAAGTGGACTATGCTTTTTAAGAACAGGAATATAGTCGGGTAACGTAAATTTTTTCAGAGAAAGGTAAACATTGTCCTTCGTTTGTAAAATTTGCTGTCCATTGAGAAACAAGAAGGCTCACTGAAATTTTGTCGCTTCAAAAAACATGGTATTTTGAAGTAAAGGTTAGGCACAAATATGTACAGATAGATTATAGCCTAAAAATAACCGTTGATAAGCGCAGACCATATTAAGCTTCCCACTTGCATTAAATACAAAAGCACAGGTCATTATGGGACCTCAACCGTAATTTGTGAAGTGAATGCATCAAAACTAATAAGTAAAGAAGGGGCTATATTTAGTTATTTTAGGTTGCACTTCTAGATAAGAAAAACTAGACCGACAAGAAACAATAAAGAAGTTACTCCCTGAAGATTCCAATACAGATAACACACTGAAGCAACAAGTACTCCGGGTAAAAGGCAATAGTAATAGACTAGCTATCCCTCGGTTTGTAAAATGTAAAGTATGTAGCCGCTCTACATACAATGGCACTTAGACTACCGATAAATCGTCCCACTTTGATGTTGAGAGAGATCAATTTTAAAACCAGATCGGATTTCGACACCGCCTATCGAATCCTAAAATCAATACATTCACAACCAGTGTAGTTTTATAAAACATGAACCCACTTTTTGTTCACTAGTTTGTGAACAGAATAACCTGTTACATTCATAACTGAAAAATTTATCTTAGCAACTGAAAATCAAATAAATTCGATAAATCTCAGATACATTGATTGGGACATAGCTAACGATTTAGTGGTGGCTACATCCACAGAACCTCTCAGTTAAAAAACATCGTGTTGCCATAAGGCCAGTGTGATTGAAGCTCACGGAGAATGAAATAATCCGACAGTGCATCTACATCGAAGTCAGAAACCGAATATGTTATCCTGAATTCGCTCTTCAAAAGACCTATTAAAGTTTCAAATGATTATAAAGGTTAATATCTCAGGCAGTCAATCTGATTCAATTGCGGCCATAAGACGAGTAACTTCTGTGTTATCTTAATCAGCTTGAAGCACATAAAATTACAAATCTAAACAAAAATGAATAAAATGATGGACACAACTCCTACACGCGATGTGATTCAGAGAACTATGTGAACTGTAAACCGTGGGATTAAAGTATACTGCACAGCTCTAAAAGTAAGCACTTTATACATTATCAAAATCTAAAATAAACAGCCCAACAGTTATACTTTAGAAATATCTGACATATCCTCCAGTATCTTAAGTCGCAGCAAAAGGTGCAGTATTTTATTACAGTTGTAAACAAACCAAGATAAGTTTTTGTTCACTTGAAAACTGATGTAATATTGAATTATATATTTGTAAGTCACATGCATTTTAAAATGGCAATATCAATAAATGATATTTGGCAAAAGCTATTCCGTACTTTTGTTTCACTAACCTAAAGATATTAAAAGGAGAAACAGGTGTTTAAATGGAAGGAATAACTGCCTACACGAGGTCTAAACAGCCTATCTGGTACCGCTTATTCTCGAAATACCGCGCTTCGTAGAGGAATTTTTCGGATTCCAATATAAAAGTACGCTGTACAATATTTAAACTAAAAAACCTTAGAAATCTTCAATTCATTGAGCCACGAAACTTCAGTGCAATTATCCTGTCACATTTATTCATTATTCATAAGAACTGAACACTCCAGATGATCACCGATGCATCCATATAAGTGTTTTTAGTAACGACACTTCATGTCTGGTGGTGAATGACCATATATCACTACACGTGGCTACTTTCATTAACGAGAACAAGCGTAGATAAAGATATGAGCAAGACGGTTTCTTGTAGCGCATTTTTGGCCAGTTTGACGGAAGAACGTTCCATACAATCTTTAATAGTTTTATCCGTCCCCATTTAGAGTACAGAAACATAGTACTCCCCCCTCACTCCAAAAGGACAGGGTCACTTTGGAGCGTATCCAACGGCGAGCCACGAAATCAGTTCGAGGACTCAAATCTAAGCCTTACGACGAACGCCTCCATTCACTAGACCATTACCCATTAGAGTATAGGCGTCTTAGAGGTGATTTATTAATGGCTTATAGTATTCTTAACACTTCTGGATATCCTCTTAAACACCTACTTAAGCTTAGTTCGAATAATAACCTAAGGGGTAACACCCAGGAACTGGAAACTCAACACAGCAAAGCGGAATGTAGACACAACTTCTACTCCTTAAGAGTTGTCAAAAGCTGGAATTCGCTGCCGGCCGAGCTAGTCCAAGCGACTTCTCAGGAGTCCTTCAAGAGGCAACTTGACCTATTCTTAAGGACCAAGGACAGTATCACACTATGATTTACCAATTGCTTTTCCTCTTTTATTGTTAACATACCTAGTTTCCTGCCTGGAGGATTTGGTGATCCCCTGCTACTAGACACGGAAGCCTGTTAAGCGAAAGCTTCTTCTATTCCGTCCACAACCATTTGAACCATTTGAGTATTTGGGAAAATATAATGTTTCGAATTATTTGAATTATAGCACTTGAGGATGATACAGGTATTCAGTGTTTGACAACGCTTCTACCAATAACACCTTCTAATATGCTTTGTTCCCACCGAGAGAAATCAAAAGACAGAGTCGAGGAGATCGGAAGAGTGTATTTGGCGATAACCAATATATCGGGAATCTCTGATCTAATCTGGCTAGTGATTGCGGTTGTTGTTGAGCACAGCGTGACAGCACGTGATCTGGTGCGGATGCATGACCGAGCGCCTTCAGCTAGATGAGTCCACTAAAACATAGAATAACCGCGCGCTACGGATTGGACGTTACTTTCACGTCGAGGTTTTTAGTTTTGTTTTTCTAGGATTCTCGCAGAGTTGGATGAGTTATTTTTCCTTGGATTAATGGAAGTGAACTCAATTCTCAACAATTAACATATAAACTGTGAATTCCATGCCATATGATAAGTTCTGAGTTTAACTTACGGTATTTATGACCATATTCATACAATAATTCATATTTATATAATTACATATATTCATTTTGACTATACTATCAAACTATACTCTGTCACTTTGAAACCATATATAAGCATATTTGACGAAGATTTGCATTTCATATCTGTATTCTATTCCTTAATGAATATATGGTTATATCGTATTTGAATGCTTTAACCCACGTACTTTATGTATCTACAGGATCTATTCAAACCTCTACCTAATATCAAGAAATATATATAACCGTGTATGTTAAAGGACTGTATTCACTATTCTATGAACTATCATTTAAATCGTATTTGGACACTATAAATCATTTAATTTCTGAAGCTACCTGTCCAATTCGGATCTATTCAAACCTCTACCTAATATCAAGAAATATATGTAACCGTGTATGTTAAAAGACTGTATTCACTATTTTATGAACTGTCATTTAAATCGTATTTGGATACTATAAATCATTTAATTTCCGAAGCTATCTGTCCAATTCGGTGAGTCTGTCATAGTTTTTTTTTTGACAGTACTTTTTTTTTCCAAAAGCTGTTCCATACATTTGTTCAAGAAGCAACATAATAATCTTAGACGGTAATAATCTTCTAAACTACTTGTCTCTGCACCTCCCAATTTTTACTAATACGGACTTTCAGTTTATATATGTACCACGTACCGTACTTTTTTTTTGATTGTTTGATATTAATTATCGACATTTCTAAATTACTTTACTGTTTTTAACATCACTAATCCTCACGATACATTGACTCTTGGTTAAAACATAGATTTTGATTTTTAGACTAACTTGAGCCCTCGGAATTGATTTTTTTTCACCTCTTTCTGTTTCCAACATTCTGTTCAATCCACTTGCTATACGTGACTTTCTTATTATGCCACAAAATAAAATGAAGACCCCTGCTTCTAGGCGTTCAGCCAAACGTAGGAAAACGACACAATTTAACACCACTACTGACACAATTTCCAACAGTTTCAACGAGACGAGCCACTCCGTTCATCCGGAAGCAGACAAGCGTTTACCAGTTGTCTCCATTCCAGACATGTTGAAAACTCTGATGGTAAACAGTGATGATAATCGCAACTGCAACCATATGGATGCTATAAAAAAGTTGCAAGTAGACATGAACATTCTCAATCCGCTTAAATATCTCGTCAACCCCAACCTCACAGAGATTCCCGATCAAATGAATGACATAAATATTTTCCTAGATCGTGTTGCATCAGAGGTATTTGAAAGAATAAGACGATCTAGTAATGCAATTGTGTTTAATATACCGGATACACATGCCCTTAAAAAGATCAAATCTAGTCTGCTTAGAGCCAGCAATATGACACACGTACCATGTGTATGCACAAGATTAAAAAGAAGTCATCCTGGTATGCACTCACCGATCTTGTTCAAATTTAACTCATCTGTAGACGCCAGTGAATTTTTAAATTCCTCCAATTCATTGAGACAAAAACAGATTTTCAAGGATATTAAGACTCTTCCGGATAAAACACCATGCCAGCGAAAAGCAGGAAGAGATAACTACAGACCACCAGCGTCAAACTCTCAAACGCATCATAATCCTAATGGTCGTAAAGTTAAGTCGGATTCTAAGAGGACGTCTAGCTTAGCAAATTTGCCGCCACCGAAAAACTCTTCTGAATCTCCTAAAGTTCAAAACCCAGAAGAAAGTAATCCCGATGTAGGTGGTGTCCATCCTCTTAAGAATGTTGATTTAGATTCAACCCGAAGTAGTTGTGCTGATGAAGAATGGGATAACACAGTCCAAACCCCTGTTAGTGCAACACCCAGTTACAGTAACTGTGCAACGGATAACAGGAAAACTAATCATAACATTCATATAACTGACCACGAACTTAACGTTGATATATTCGAACCTCCCAAACCATCGCAGGTATGTTTAACAGTACATAATCCTCTCCAACATATGAAGAAGCCGAAATCAATCACAAACCTTGGAAATAAACGTCTTAAACACGTTACCCATACGTCAGGTATAAATAGTTATCTGAATTGTAATTGGCCACTTGGTCAAAACCATAGACCTGATAGCCTTCTTGGTCCGGCTCCCAATATGTACACTATGCCCTTATCAGATGTTATATCCGATAGCAATGAGAAAACTTTTTTTGTAATTCCGCCGGCTTTCCTGCCGGCAACGGTAAACATATTTCACATGATGACAAAGTGGTTGAATCTATTTCCCCTCGCAACACAACTCTTACCTTAGCTAATCCTATGAGTATTAATGGAACTACCAATTGCGATTTATACTCTAACCTGCTTCACTATGATGACTCTGAGTTTCTTATTCTTTCGTTCAATGCCCGCTCTCTGTCTAATAAAATTATTCATCTTAAAACTCTTTTATTCCTTGTAAATCCAACCATTGTACTTATTACGGAAACGTGGTGTAATTCATCTATATCCGATCATTCCTTGAATGTAGATAACTACGTTTTCTTTAGAACCGATAGATGTTATGGAATAGGAGGCGGTACAATTATCTATGTCCGTTCAGACATTCAAGCGTGCAAATTTGAGGATAAATCCCTTGATGCTATAGAAGACTCCACTTGGGTTACTGTAAACTGTGGATCCCAAAATTATTTACTGGTGGGATGCATATATAGACCACCTCATGCGGATACTAAGTTTGACAGATTACTAACAAACATATTTTCCATTGCTTCGCATCAACCGCATACCTTTAAAATCGTCGGGGGTGATTTTAATCTGCCAAAAATTACATGGGGCTTGACTCCGGTACCAGGTCGATATAACAAGCTAGTTGAAAC